TTGCTGGGGAAGTCCACCACTTGTCATTTTCACATATGGATGCCTATGCTTAGATGACTGTCACTGCACAGTTTTCTGTTTCCATCAGCTTTTCTACCTCCTTTTTACACAAAGAAAGTATTTTCATTTAGTCTTGTTTGAAGCAATATGCTTCTTTTTAAGCTCTATTTGCTGTGGTGATTCTTAACAAGAGTATTTCCAGCACACTTGCATGGTCTTGGTGGGCTGAGTTAGCCTACGTAAGTGATTTATGGTAACTTGCTTTTATTAGGAATTAACAACTGCAAACTTCCAATACTTTGGTAATCTCTTTTGCTGTGTAACTGTTCCTACATCTTTCTGCAGTTTCTTAGTTAAAGACTTCTGCTTTCTAGCTTCTCATACAATATATCTTCATGCAAGCGTGGATTACTTAATGTTATTTCTGGATCCAATCTACAGATGTCATTGGAACAATAAATAAAGGCTCTCTCTCGGAGCTGAATGTCATTTCAAGGGGGCTGTGCTTCTCGAGTTTGCTTAGCTTTATCAAGAATAGCAACAGAAATGAAGACATAATTTTTAGCACAAAGTTAAAGATATGCTCAGGGACAAAGGTGGTGTCTTTTCTGCCCTACTGCATTCCACCCACTGAATCTGACATTGGGAACTACTTAGCCAAGTAAGTCAGAGCTACTTTGTGTCTACATGGGCAATCTCAACTAGAAGAAAGATGTATTGATCTACAGGGAAGAGGAATGATTATTATCTATAGATTACCCAGATGTTCTTAGTTTTAGGCTGCACAAAGATAAGTAAATTCCTTCCTACATTTTAATGCTGTGTTTAGGTGAAATGAGAGCTGAGAGCTGACAGGTGTCTCCTAAAGTGACTGGGTATAACTCACCAGTAGGAAAGCACTGGTAGGACTTTCTGCTTGGGACTAGTGACCGGTAGTTTTGAAAGATGACTAGTTTGAGCAGTCTCTGTGTTCTGTCATCATCCTCTTTTACGCCCTCATGAGGACTCAAAAAGAGAGTATTACTGACTCTCTGAGGTATGAGGTCATAATTACAAGGTTTATCTTCAGTTTAATTATGCTTCTACCATGTAAGGTAGTCTATTAAAGCTCTGTGAATGCAGCTCAGTCTGTACCAGTGATGACTCCTCAAGCATTTTGGAGATAATTTTAAAATTCATACTGCTGTGCTCTGTCACTGATCATTAAAAACTTCCTCACAGTTGGTTCCATTACAGGCTTTCATACAAACAAGCTGCAAGATCACAGACACTGCTTCCTGTGAACAGATCCCATTCAGACAACTGCTGGGCGTTCCTTTGCAATCAGGAGGAGGAAAAGCAGCAAAACACAAATCCACAAAGGTAATTTGTATCTCCTGGCTCCCCGTAGTATGTACCTGCATACTGCTCTGCTACCCTGACTGCTTTAATTCTCTGCTGCCCCAGAGAAGAAAACTCCAATTTTCTTCTTTTACTTGCATTTTCCACTCAGCTTTTCTCTAAATTAGCTCTTTCTCTATAGTCTGAAATTTTTGCTAAGTATTGCTGACATGTCCTTTGGTCCAAACCAGTAGCGCAGCCATTCTCACTTTACATTATCGTTTCCCGCAACCTCGTATTGCAAGATTTGGTTAGTCTGTGGGTTTGAATTCTTTGCTTTCCTTACTGTTTTTTCACCCCATACATGAACATTGACATTAGTCAAAGGAACACTGTGCAAACCCTCAGGATGGGCAGCTAACACATTTTCATTTTTAAAAGCTCACACAATGACACTCGAGGAATTTCCAGGCTTACACAACACAAGAAAATAAAAAAAAGAAAACAACCAACAACAAAAACAGCACAAAAACCCCACTCAAATAAACACCACCCCCCCCCCAACAGTCAGTGCATACCCTTGCTTTTGATTTCCAGCTACTCAGGCTGTGGGTTGTTTTCCTGCATACTGGCTCATTTGGCTACTGTACGTTTCAGAAAGCATTGGAGAAAGAGAGTTCAGATTTCAGAAATCTGTTTTCTTGATTCATTCAAGCCATTAAATCTCACATCATACTTCACTCCTTGAATAACACAAAACCTGTAGGATTCCTGATTTAATTGCCACAGTAAACAGAATAAATTCTATTAGGCATGTTACAGGCTCACTACTTGGGTTACAATTTAAAGAATGTGGTATGACACAACATAATAGGCAAGCTTCAGTTCAGCATTTATTCAGCTAACAGTGCTTTCCAGAAACTGATGTTAAAGTGACCACTTCACTAAGCAGCTTTGACCAAACCCTGACAGTGTTACTCTTCTGATCCTCAAAAAACCAAATGTGCGTAAAGATATCATTTACTGTTGAGTAAATGTAAAAAGTAACTATATATTCATTTGTGCACAAGATTAAATCTTCCCTTTCTTAATCTTACACCTGTTTCAATTGTCATGGAAAACTTCTGATTGGGAATATTTCACCCCAGGCATCTGAAATCACATGAAGCTAGTTTTGAATGCAACTGAATTAGATTTATAAGGCTGGAAGGAGATGGCAAAGTTGGAGATGCTTTAACAGGTAGATATTTTCTTACTTATCAGCACTTCAAACTCTGCTTGGGATATTAAAATGGAATTGGGTTCTTTCCAGCTTCTGTATAAAATATTCTCCAAGCCAAGTTTGATTCTTGGGAACAATTGCACATCACCACTATCCTCTGTGGGTGTGCTGCAAGTACAGCTGATGAGGACTTGACAATTCTGCTGATAATGTACATAAAGGAATATATTCTTGTTTACCCCTTCAGGTGTATTGGCTTCTGGAGGGGAGGAGGGATGAATGTCTAAAATCTGTGGGTTTAATCACTCAGAGAAAAGATACATCAAAACACATTAGGATCAAGTGTATTCACATCATTAAAAATCTACATTTAACATAATTTTGCAGATTGCATTACTATTAAAAAATCAGTGGAAAGCAAATCTGCATTTATCATAATGTGGTGCAGGAAACACAAATGTCTTCAGTTAAAAGTAGGCTAGAATAAACACTTCATCTGCTACAAGAAACAACTGCACTCCCCCAGAGTAATGGGCTGGATCCCAGAAGCAGCCTTTCCCTGGAGCTTCTAATTTAGAAGGGCAATTTCAGAAATAAAAATCAGAGAAACAGAGGCATCACTGAAGTCGGGAAGGATAAGTAAGGCAATTTCCTTACCTGAGACACCCAAGTTCCAGTTGTAGCTGTTCCAGTGATAATTAATCTTACATCCCCAATTTGATTTTCAGAATTTACTTATGAGAGCAATAGTATTTATCCACCTAATACCCAGCAGTGCTGCAGAGATGAGTAAAGCAATGCTTTCATGTACTTGAGAGCTAGGCATTCTAAGAGTTATCAAACTAAAGCACCTCTAGGCTGGTCAAGAGACACAAAAATGCCATCTAGCTCATAGTGGCATTTCAAAAGCACACTTCCCAACAGTATCAAATCAAGTGTTAACCTACTATTAAAATGACACTTCATTTGTTCAACCTGTGAATTGTATTGCAATGAGTCCAGTTTGCTATATCTAAATGTCTACATATCGATTTGTTCATCTTTTAACAAATTAAGCTTTTTAGTACCAACGGCAATGGTAATCATTGCTCTACAGAACACTTGCAAGTATTTTTCATGCTACTCATTTGAAAATAAAGAATATAAAGCAACCAAGAGCAAGCTCCAAGCACCTGCAACTCATATATCCAGAAGTGAACTGATCTTTGGCAGGTTATCATCAAAAGAACTTTAACTTGACCTTGGGGAGACAATTCCACTGAAAACTAGCAATGAACAAAGAATGCAGGCAGTCAAACATAACTAACAGGGCATTTATGGCAACACCAAGTCATGATTTACTGAAATAGCGTATCCAACCTTCAAAGTACATAGCATTTGTTATTTTGTTTAGAGTTAATCATGTGAAAATTCACTATAACTGAATTAACAATAAGTTAACTTACATTACATAATATTAGTTAGTAGTAGGTTAATATGAGTAATGAATAATAAAAATTGGTGTAGAGAAGGAAAAGGAAGAATGTAGAATACAGTGTTATCACAAGTAACTAGTATGAAACTTAGAAATTGCTGTGATTTAAATATTTCATTTTTACAACCACTACATTATTATGAAAAGTGAAGTTCTGATTCCTCTACAACAGAAGCTATTCTTTCTCTAACCTCCTTGATTTTTATGCAGCTAATCTCAGTCAAACAATGCAAGAGCCCAATTTATCTTCAACATATTATGCTCATAAAGTATTGTGTTGTCTTGACTGCTATATTTGCTTAGATTTAACCTAATTATGAAGTTTTTATATAGATGTCTGTCTAACTGCTTACCTTAATTCAACTGTTTTACCTAGTGAATGCTCTTCAAAGACTTAAAGTCTAGGAACCTGTAAATACAGGTGCAATTTGTACCCTGCTGTGGCTGGCAGTGGTAATTTATCAGTTTTATTTGCAGCAGGCTGTAACTAAACCTTGCCAGATGTAAATCATCTTTTTGTAGTACTGCTTGCTGTTTCAGTTGCAAATGAATCTCATTTCTTAGCTTAACACTCACATCAAGAAAGCTAGAAGGTTCCAGGGAAATTTAGAAAACCCTGGAGTCACTGACTGCAAGGCTTATTATTCAGCTTAGCAACTGTTTAAGCTAATACTGAGAAAATAGAGTGAATGGTCTCTGTAGGCAAGTTGGGAGTGCAATCAGAGCGTGTAATTGCAACAGAAAAACATATTGAAGCCTCAGCCATGTCAACTACAGTACCGCCTGCAGTGCCAATGCTGAAACATGGGTGACAACAATGGCCTAAGCACATTTGAGAGAATGAGTGCCTAAATAGCAGAGCACACTTTGCTATAGCCTGTTAGACCCAGCTACTTTCTATAGTCAGTCCCATAAAATAAGAGTTGCTGGCTAAAAGGTATATATAGGATCACATATCCACATCCCATCCTAACAGCTCATTACCCATCAGATAAGGGGAACAAAAATCTCTTCCTTGTATGGCAGCATCTTCCTGAGCCTCCAGCTGGTATACTCCAAATGAGTCCCACGCAGATGTTTCTATAATATTGGTAGATATTTTCACTGTGATTTTCTATCACATAATGGACATTATATGTCCTAAAATTGCTCATTTTTGACTACCTTATTACCAAATCCTGGCACAGCACTGTGTCATGCAAAAAACTGCAAAGAAGTAACAATCGCCTTCATAATGAGCAGTGAAACAATATAGTATTAACATAGAGTTATCAAACAACCATTCCTTATACAGCACTGACAACATTTTGAGTATACATAAAGCCTATAAAGGAGAAATTGTAAACTATCTTTTTGAAGCTGTCAGTAGAGTTGATTATTTCACCTATAATTCAACTGCTGCCACTGCAGAAACAAAGATTCCTTCAGCCTTGACTGTCCCATGTGTGTGTGCTCTGGATTCCCTTACCTTGAGCTAGCTAGAGAGTCTCTAAGAGTCCTCAGCTCCTTTCCAGTTTCTGTAAGTGGGGAGGGCCTCTTCACTGGTTCCGGTGCATCAGACTGAAAGTGATCACACTGAAAATAGATAATGAAGTATTAATTAAGAGCTTAGCATAGAGTAGGTATGTGCAGTCTCAGGCTTCATTTTAATCACCAAATATTTTCTGAGATTGTCATCACCTGGGACAGCACTGTATCATTTCACAAGTGTGTAAACAAGTCTTACATGACACTGCTGTGCATGCCTGTGTGTACATGTGTTCCAGCAGCTTTTAACTCATTGGCTGGCTTCAAGTTTGACAGAGATTTTACAGGCAGTTAAAGCACCCAGGAGCTTCATTAAACTACCAGACAGGAAGAAGAGACTGTTCAATGGCTCAGGCTTAAGGAATGACTGCTGTGAGTGCTTATGCATTAACAAACTATGAACAATATGCATGGGAGAAACCTTTTACAAGTCCCAGTCCAGAAAATTTTTCAATCAGACCCAAAACAGAGAGATTGACATTTATAGGAACCAAAACAGTAGGAAAAGCTCCACAGACATAGGTGGGTTTGGAGCACAGGACACAATAGTTTTCTTATTTTCTCTCTCTCATTTTTTAAGAGTGAAGAAACCAGGTCAGCAATTTTAGGTAAAAAGAATTAAAATCACCAACTCATTATATCGTTCAAAATGCCTTCAACATTTGTTCTTCTGAGCAGCTAAGGAACTGAAACACATGGAGATGAAAGCTTGTATTTGTTGTTGAACCAGCCCTGGCTTAGAAGTACCTTTGGGGTTTCCAGAGAGCAGCTGCATCAGTTTCATAGAATCATGACTGCACATTGTGCATATGCAGGGCTTTGTACGTGTTAGGTAATAAAATATGCAGTAGAGGCAGCTGTCAATGTGCAAAAAGTGCATGGCTAAAACTGTTATCCACTGGGAGCATAGAGCTGGTGTGTAGAAACTGCAGTGCAGTCCACACTATTCCACGAGGCAGTCCTGTGCGTGCATGAATGTCCTAAGTTCCCAGGAAAATTAATTCCAGGAAATAAAGATCCTTCACTATGCACCTGGGAAAGTATGCAATAGGATATTGCAGATCTCAGCTGGGTCTATAGAGAAGATGGTCGCCTACTCCGGAGAGACTGCAACTCTTATTTCAACACCTTATGCCTGTCCAAGTATTGGTTTTCATTGCTGAGACAACTGGTGCTCTTTGTGGTTCTGTGATATGATTGAGCTGCACTTCAACCCTTTCTTAGTAACTTTTTAACTTTAAAAGAACATTGTGGAAAGTGCAAACAAAAGAAGTCTTTTCAATGAGATGTATAGATCAAAATAAGAATTGTAACAGAGAAGTGAATGTCAGTGTCACTAAATGAATGTCAGTGGATGTTTCTGGTACTCAGGCCAGAGAGCTTCTGCAGTAAAACACCTGGCACAGTGGCACTTCTTAGCAGGACTTCCCCAGCACTTTTCAACTTACTGTTCAACTTTATTAGCTTCTGACAACCCTGACTGATTTGAGTTAGAGAAAAAAGGAAATTAAGCATTGTGTTGGGATAGGTAAGATAGTAAAGGATGCCGAAGTCAGGCTAACACACACTTGTGTTTGCTTTCTTAAAGAAAAAAACTTTAAAGACACAAAATCATTAGTGTTAGCTGTCAGATTTCATCTAATTGTAGCTCCACCATTCTTTCTCTTTTGTTTGTATTTTATTCTTTTCTCTTGTACAAAAATTGTGATGAAATCAGCTGCCTGGCATTCAATATTGTCTAAAGAGAAAGGAGCTGGATCAGATTATAAATAAGCTAACAAAGACTGTGTATGAGGAAAATTAAATCTTCTTGCTGGATCATCAAAATAAATTCAGGTAAATCATTAAATCCATACAGAGAAGTTAAAATGTACTTTAATTCCAACATTTTATTTATCTTTACAAGACTTGAATTGCTTTGGGATAGATAGCCACAGACTGAACTAAGTCTGCAGTATTGTATGACAGACCTAAGTACATATCAAATAAAACATACACTTGAGCAGTCTTGGGTGAATTAGAACAGACTCACCAAGTGATTGTTTTGTGCTGACCAAAAAGTGGCATTTCAGTAAAATTGTCTCCAGGCCTTTCAATATTGAAAAGTGAAGGTTAAGGTCTCACCAAGCAAAGGCTGAAAATCTGGGTGGAGACTAGACCTTCAACAAGTGTTTATTTCTGCAGCTCCACATAACACTCAAAGGAACAGTCCTTTCAGCTTCAAGGTTTTGAGACCTAAAGATGTACATAGTGACCTGTATACTTTTATAAAAATATGGAATTTTGAAATGCAAATCATTCTGAATGTGTCAGCCATTTCTGTGCTAAACTGTAACATAGTTTAAAGATCAGTCTTCTAGAACTGACACATGGCATAACTAAAACAAATACACTGAATTTTCAGAACACTATTTTTATCAGATTGCAGTAGAAGCCTACACATCACTCAGTGATTTCTTCTGATACCTTCAGGAGGAGTGTTACAAATTAAGATCTAGGAAATGTTCATCAGCCAGCAAAAGGCTGCTTCCTTAAGTACAGTAAGGCTTTAAAACTTTAATTCAGCGAACATATCAATGATTAATTAAAACACAATGCTTCTCTGTTGCCTTCTTTAACTCCATCTAGAATCAAAGCTTCACCAGTGGTCTCACCTCTGGCTTGGAAGAGTGCTTGTCAGTAGTAACTTCAGCCACTTCTTTGGGTGTTTTTCCCTGCACATCTTTTTCCACTGATTCCTAGAAATAAACAAATTCATATTTCAAACAGTGCTAATTACCCATACTGTAGCAGGTCATAATTTTCAAAATTAAGTGGTACAAATAAGTTTTTCTATAGAGATGCAAATTAAAGTAAAAATAATGGCTGGTCTATTGTAGAAAACTTAAAATGTCACTAAGTAACTCTGGTGTACAAGTAGATTCTCATCTGATGTACCTGCTGACAAGTTACTGTGCAAAATGCATACATGTTTGCTAAATTATTATACTCAAATGCTTTGAGAAATGTAATTTTTCTCTTGGGAGGCTGTTATGTAGACTACTGTGTCAAACATAAAAAGAAAATCCAATTTCCAAAACCAGGAAAATTACTTACCTGTAATTGCTCTTCCCTGAAGATACGCACTGTGGATAGACAACTATTCTTGGGTCTGTGCTTTCACCCACAAGGAAGGCACAGATTCCTAAAAAGCCCTGAAGTCAAACACAAGCACACTTTTCAGAAGTCCTTCAACCATCAGTTTATTCAAGTGGAAGGAAGACATATTCCTTCCTATTAAAAAGAATTATATAGGGAGATTAATCAAAGACTTCAGCTCACTCAGTAGTGTGCAGTGCTCAGGATAAAAGGATATGAAAACAGGCATTTCTTCCTGCACTAGTTTTAGATCAAAGAGCTCATTTATTGATTCCAAGCAAAGCTGTAGGGCCTACCTAGGAAGGTGCATCCATATAGTCAGGGCAGAGCCAATGTACAAAGGCTGCTTCACAGCAGCCTTAGAGCTGTGGATGACAGTTGCTATGCTGTATAGCTTCTGCACAATGGACCAAAGCTTGAGAACATTCAAGTATTTAAAAGAAAGAAAAATCAAGGGCAGAGCATTTTGCTTGTTGGAATTTGACTTAAGAAGGCACAAAAATATTTTCAATTTTATGTTCTTATGCAACATTTCAGCAGAACAAAAGTTCAAAGTGTAAAGAACAGAATCTTTATCCACTGGAGAGCTGTAGACACCAAAGTTCTTCTATAAATAACTGAGACAGCCCAGAAACAAGTGGAAAACTAGGGGGGAAACCAAACCCAGAGCAAAGCAGCTGGAATGAAAAGATGATTTTCTGCACCCAGAGTAAGGCTGAACTAGTGAGATGTCAAAGAGAAGTCTGAAGGCTCCACTGTTACATGCAATTGGGGTGCACTTGACCAAGATTGGTCAGCAGAAGAGACAGATGGCAAACCAACACTGCTCTGGAGAACGTGTCATACAAGGCTACCAGTGTACTCAAGATCCCCCGTTTTTGAGTGAGAAAACCTCATTCACACACTCAACAGGAGAAGAATAATTTTCCCATTTCCCACTTCACCTGTGGAAAATGCTATTCGGACTACTGGTGATGAACATGCATTCAATCTAGAGTCTCTTACACTGAACTTGAGGAAAAACAAAACTGAAGTATTTGCCACTACATAAATTTAATCATCATATATTTGGCATGTTTTTTTCACAGATCAAAGTTATTTATTTTAACCATTTGTAGTAAGAAGCAGATTCTGAATACTAAATGTCTTGATCTGCAAAAGCAGGCCTTCTGAAGTAGACTGGATTTTGGAAATGAGCTGCCAAATAAAGGCATTTATAAGGAATTAAACCCTCCCCTCCTGCAACATTTTCAGCATAAGTGTGAGACATTTGTAATGACATTCCTGTAGTACATGGACACAACGTATCTATCCAGAACAGAAATAATGCTAAAAGACAAATAATTACTTGTATCCTGATTTACCCCTTCTAAATTTCAGAGCACTCTTAAAGGTAGAAAGCTGCCAGATGGATGGAGCAGAAGACTTTGTTGGTGAAATGCCTTCAGTGAAGATGGTTCAGAAGCAGTTTGGTTTTTAAACTGAAAAGTTTTCATATTGGGGCCCATATTTAACTTGTACCATGGCACTGTTTTTGGAAGTACAATAAAATGTCCAAGTAACTCTAAATATTAGGACATCCTTCAATCTCCTTTCTCCTTTTCTGCTACTATTTGCACATGGCTGCCTTCTCTGCATTGCGTATCTATTTATCATTTGTAATGCAACCACCACAGCATCACCCCATAGCACAATAAGCAACAAAATCCAACACCATAAACTGGTGTTGATTCTCTCATCTCTGCTATGGGAGTAGCACACAGCAGCCTGACACTGGTGTGATTTGTTTTTTAAGATAGATAGATTCGATTAGAGAGAGAGAGATATAGATGATAGATAGAGAGATGATAGATGATAGAGAGATGATAGAGAGAGAGAGATATAGATGATAGATAGAGAGATGATAGATGATAGAGAAATGATAGAGAGAGAGATAAAGCCATACTTGTAGCAGAAGCATCTTACACTCCAGGAAGAGCACAATTTCCAGTCTGCTTTGCTCCTGACACTCTTCCGGACAGCCAGAAGAAAGGATAACCTTCCTAACCTTTCCAGTTGCTCAGGAGGGGAGGTAGCACACCATCCCCTCCACTCAGGCACTGATAATGTGATTCAATTTGTCTTATCACAGGAAACAGAAGGGAATAGCTTCCTTTCCCACAACATTATCTTTCATTACAACATTATGTATTGAAAAGGTGCAATTTGAGCTTAAAATGGTAACAGTACATAATTATAGAACAGTACAACTCAATTTGTAGTGTGCAAAGAAAACAATACTGCTCCATCTAATTTGTTAAACTCAATATATTATCGTGACAATCTTAACAATCTTTGGAATTTCAGTGGTGAATTTGTTTTTTTAGTGTTTCCAGCTTATGAAGACTTCCATCATAGTTCATTCTATCTGCTTTTAAGCCATCAAAAGACCTGCTTCAGTGATCATTTCCTGCTTTCATTAGAGTGAAGTAACAAAATCTCACACTGCTCCATATGTAAGAAACAATAATTATAAAAACAAAAAAAATCATAAAGTGATATCTGAAGCATTACCTTAAAGTCACATTACATGAGGAAATGACTTCAAACTTTTTCATGCAAATGATTACGGTCATTTTTGTTGGGATCCCATCCAGCAGCTCCAGGTAAAACGAGCTCCAGCAACACTGCAGCAATACTGCAGTAGGTGGAGCTCGATGTCACCCAATTGCCTAGCGCTGGGCTCCCGTGGGGCCGGGAGGGACCCCTCTCAGTGCCCTGGCATTGCTGCCTCCTGCCTTGAACAGCTCTTTGTGTCCTCTTCATCTTAAATTTTAGGCTTTTTAAGTATTTTGGCATGAACAAATTCTTTTAAATAGCTTGTTCAGTTGAAACCCACTCCCTGCAGACTCTGAACTTTACCCTAACATTTCCCAAGTACATTCATTTTGTCTACTAAATAATTCTGATGATTAAAAATGGTTTAACTGACAAATCCTTCCTTTTATGAAACATTCTCTTTATTTTACACACCTGACACCTTTGCAGATGTCATTCTGTAACATTGGAGAATATCCAGCATTCTCCTCCAAGAATTTCTGGGGCAATAGCCTGAGCTGGTGGTACATATGCCAGCTAGGGATGGGGAATCAAAGTGCAGTTCTGGGTAACTCAGTAAGTTTGTAACTTATTGTCAGACCTAGCAGATTGACACACTTATTGCACTCTTCTTCCTTCTAATATATCACTTGAATAGGAGCATTATGATTCCATTCACATGCAGTGAATGCTTTGTGATGAAAATAAAGCAGTGCAGTCTCATCAGAAGCCAACATTTAGTCCCCCAAATGCAAGATCAACCTGATATAATATATTTAATTTTACAAAAATGTTTAGAAAGCTTTTGCAAAGTATTACATAGAGATGACTACTGCTGTGCTGCAAGTGGCATTCTAAATGTTCAATTTTAAAGGTAGTATTCTAGCTGAGTTCTCTGATTTCCCACTATATCATCACAACTCCTGCCCCCCCGATTTCTTCTTTTATTGCTGCTACTCAATACTGACCCTTTCTGCCCTTTCACTAGAATGTGGGAACACAGAACAGACATCAGGACCAAAGGGAATTTGCAGTTAAACAAGAGAGGTTCCAAGACAAAGGACTACTGCAGAAAATTAAGATTCCTTTAAGAGTAATGCTATTAAAGTACTTCAGCTTAAAAAAAAAACAAAACCAAAACCAACCAAATAAACAAACAAAAAAACCACAAAAACCCCAAAAAACACAAAAACCCAAAAGCCACAACTAAATCTGGAGATATAAATGTGTATCACAATCAAAGACAAGATACCTGATTCATTAAGGTTGTGCTGTAGCCTACCAATAATGCAAAGCACTTTACCGTTGAGAATGTCTGTTGCCAAGGGTAGCACTTGATCAGAGCTATTGCAGCAGCTTCCCATCCTTGGTCTCTGGTCAGAAATGGTGCTGCTATCAACAGAAAGGGGCACTTATCCCACTGTTTTACCAGGAGTAGTTTTAATGAGCAAGGGAGTTCCAGTCCTGGTAGGTCTCCTTCTGCACTTCAGTGAACTCATTACTGTCTGTATAGACATATCAGGAGAATGGAAGGAGACAGCTGAAAAGTGAGAGGAAGGTTGTCTGCTAGTGAAGGCATGTCAATGAAATTTGGAATAAGTAGTTTCAATTTTATCTCAGAAATGTCCTCTGACTTCCTAAATAAAATATTTAACACCTTATCCCAGCTAGCAGAAGCTTTTTTCTTTCTTTGACTATAATGAATTTTAGTATAAATTCATTGTGCCTCTACTCCCTGTATCTGAAATGGGAAAAATAACATTTCTCTTTCATTAACATCTATGAAGTATTCAGATACTATAGTGATGGACAGCCTCTGTACAGCAAAACTGTTGTTCTCATAACAAAACCAGCTTGAATAGCTTGGTATTGTTTATTCCATCCATTCACCTCCCTTTCTCATATACCTTGGAGAAATGCTCCTTCTATTTTCTTGTCTCCAAAGAATATTTACTAATTCTGGTAAGTTTGGGAAGCTTTATAAAACAATTGGATCTAACTAATCTCAGTTGTAACATCATTG